GTGCTTTCAAATTACTGTGAATTCATTAGCAGCTATTGTGACACAATCTGCACCTGTTTCTTTTACCGTAAAAGGACATTAGTAGACCAATGGTGCAGGATTATGTGAAATAAGATAGTATTAACAGACCATGAAATGGTCTTAATGAGTAATTTGAGAAGAGGGGTTGAAATGTTTATTTCCAGATTGTCTGCTATCAAGTGCAGGAAGCAAAAAGTGAAACAAGAAACCCTGCTATTTCTTTATGTATATGTCTGGCCCTCATAACTGACATATCACAGCTGTTCAGGCACATGCATGTCTTGTTTCTAAAATGGATCCTCTCTATATCTCTGCTGTTCCTTCTGAACACAACTTGCACCGAAAAAGTACTTGGAAAACTACTACTAGAGACTTCTGCAGAAGTAGAGAAGACAACCTTACTACATCAGGTTATGATGTGATTACTAGATCACTTGTACTAACTGGACAAACAGTTGTCTGAAGCACAAGTACCAGTGACCTGGGCACTAATATACATCAGTGTGTATACTTCTAATCAAACATTTCTGTAATTAAGCTTAATACAGATTACATAAAATATAAATTAAGCCAATTTGATAAAAAGGCTATTTCCTTCATACAAATTAGTAAGCATGAAGGAAAGACAAATATATACTCTTATATTTTAAATAGCAGGAAGAAAAATTCTAGCGATACCAATATGCAAACTGTCTTGGTTGTCTGCTTTTATCCTGACATGTAGTGCAGTTATAATCCTGAAATAGTCTAATTCATATTGTATTTATGAAATTTCTTACCTCAAAGTGGGCAAAATGAGTTCTAAATTTTTGTATAACACTGCTCCAAGTACAAATACAGTTGATTCATCTAGTTCTGAAAAGAGTAAGGAAAAAAAATTTTAAAACTCTTTTTTGTGAGCATTCATCAGCATAAAAAATGTGAATACCATTTATCTTTCTAGTAGAAATTTTATTTTAAATAAACCATCACTATTTTGAATTATATTCTGGAAGTCTGTCATAAAGATGTAGCACTATCAGGAATATACCAAAAGATTTAAATCACTGAAAATCATATTTTCAAAAAAATCCATCGTTGTGTACTGACATCCATGTTAGTTCATTTACCTTTATAATTAAGTATCCTCAAATACTGTCTTTAGAGTTTAATGGCTTGCGAGTAAATTCTCAAATGTCAGAGATCTGCACTGCAACAATATTTGTAAAGTAATTTGCCTGCTGAGGATCCTTTGGGAAAAGTTTGGTGACCCATTGGAATGGCCTAGTCTGTTGAGTGGAGCAGCTTCAGAGGGTTCA